TTGCGGGAAATGCACTTGCGCTCTATTGAGAAAAGAGGCGGCGGCTCAAAAAATTGAGAATTTTTCGGTAAAATCGTTGTAATTTCGTTATTTTCAGACGATTTTCGTATTTTTTTGAGTAAAAATTTTCAAAAAAATTTATTGACTGAAAAAAGATTTTTTTTAAACTTTTTATCGATTTTTTCAAATTTTTGCCTTCAACCTCCGTTGTCAACAGAGCGCATCTGCATTTTTCCCAATTTTGAAAAGATTGACACTGTGAAAACGCGCCTCCGGCGCTTTGGCAGTGTATCGATTCTTCAAAAAATCAATATTTTCTCAATAGAGCGCGACTGCAATGTACGGAAAAGCTTAAGCACATACTCAAGTGTTATGGCGGGTGATCTTGGGCTATCAGCTAGTTTTCCGAAATTCGGCTCTTGTGCTATTTTCACCTCTATGACTATTGTCTCATTTCATAGCACATGAGACGAAAGTAGTAGCACTTGATTCATAGCAAAAGAGTCAAATGTAGCAGTTGAGACAATAGCACTTGATCACCCCCATAGCAGTTGAGTATCTAGACGCGCCTCCGGCGCTTCGGCAAGCAATTCTTTACTTATTAGCCTAACAAAACATTGATAATTAATGCAGCAATACTATTTCAGCCGCGCCACCGGCGCTCTAGCAGCTTCATCACGACCTATAGCAAAAGAGCCAAAAATAGCAATTGAGACGATAGCACAAGAGTCTCATAGCACTTGAGTACCCAGCCAATTTTTGCTAGACGCGCCTCCGGCGCTTCAGCAGTAACCCGCATGCGCCTTTAAAGTCAAATTCAATATTTTACAAGTCGACATTATCCGGTAGATACTCAACTACTATTGGTGTGATCAACTGCTATATTTGGCTCTTCTGCTATGGATCAACTGCTATGGCTGTATTTGCATTTTTAGCGCGCGATTTTTGAAAATGCGCGTCAAAATCCGCAAATATTCCGCATTTCTTAATTTTTCCGCTTCTTTTTCGAAAATTCTCGCTAAAATTACAAAAATTGAGCATTTCCACATTCTTTTCGCCTACTTTTCAAAAATGCGCGTAAAAATCGCAAAAACTCCGCAACTGTAACTGCTAGTGTCTCAACTGCTATGATTATAGCAGTCAAAATCCTCCAGAAACTCACGATGATAAGCCAAAACACATGACAGAATCGCCAGAATAAGAATTGACCGGAACATAGTCACTGACTGACTGACTGGCAAACCAATGATGCTGAGGAGACAGTGGAATATGCAAATGCTTTTAGCCGCCCCCTCCTCCCCTCCCTTCAGGCGGGGAGGATGGGCAATATAAGATAAGGGGACCGGTTCAGAGAAAGACATATGCGTATATTAATAATTATTATTGTTATTATCTCTATCTCTATTTCGTGTTTTTCGGATTCTTGTTTTCCTTATTTGATGACGAAACAGAGGAAAAGGCGATGAAAAGGACTAGAATTAACAACAGTTGGTCAATGAACTAATGATGATTAGGATCGCCCGTTTTATTACTCTGAATTCGCATTATGCAAGAGGATTACGTGGGCAGATCAAAAAACGTGTGCGCCTTTAAATACAGTAGGAACTTCCCCACTTGCGCCTTTAAGGTAAATTTGAAGCAGCATATTGTGGCAAATACTCAATTGCTATTGGGGTGATCAACTGTTATTTTGTAACTGCTAATGTCTCAACTGCTATATTTGGCTCTTCTGCTATGGATCGACTGCTATAACAGTTGAAACACTAGCAGTTACAATTGCGGAATTTTTGTAATTTTGACGCGCATTTTCGAAAAACAGGTGGAAAGAATGAGAAAATGCTAAATTTTTGTAGTTTTGGTGCTTAGGTTCGGGAAAAAGTGGTAAAATAGCAAAAACTGCGATAAAATTTGAAAATGCGCGATTTTTTCGATTTTTACGCGCATTTTTGAAAAATAGCCGGAAAGAATGGGTAAAATATTCGATTTTTGCAATTTTGACGCGCATTTTTGCAAAAAAAGCGGAAAAATTAAGAACTGTGGAATATTTGTGGATTTTGGCAAGCGTTTTTGAAAAAGAGGCGGAAAAATTAAGAGCTGCAAAATATTTGCGGATTTTGACGCGCATTTTCAAAAATCGCGCGGTAAAAATGCAAATAGCCATAGCAGTTGATCTATAGCAGAAGAACCAAATAAAGCAGTTGAGACAGTAGCAGTTGCAACATAGCAGTTGATCACCCCAATAGCAGTTGAGAAATATCAGTTGAGATTCATAGCAGTTGAGTATATACCGATATTATTTGCTTGTAGAATACTGAAATTAACTTCAAAGGAGCATTCAACAAAAGGGGTCAACTACAGTGGGTTAAAGGCGCATGGGTCTTGCCACGGAAAAAAAATTGGCGAGACCTTCTCTTGTTAATTTTGACCTTTTTTCTGTGAGAAACACAACATTTTCGCTGTGAGACCCGATTTTCCGAAAATTTGTCCCGAAAATTCATTGATTGCCAAATTGAAAAAAAACGGTAGTGTTAAAGGTGCATGGCAGGTGGGAATATTCTAATTTTTTTCGAAAGCGCGGCGAGACCTTCTCTAGTTAAATTTGCCTTTTTTTCTGTGCGAAACACCAAATTTTCGCTGCAAAACCGAATTCTCCACAACTTTGTTTTCAAAAATACGGTAGTATTAAAGGCGCATGCAAAGTAAATCGGAAATTCTTACTGTAGCATTTTTCGACAATTACTCAAAAAAAAAGAACCAAATGAAACTCGTTTATTCACAGATAAATTCGGCAGTTGACAATTTTTTTAATTCAAAAAATTCAAAAAAAAATTCAAAATTTACGTGTCAAAAAATCAAAAAGGAAAGGAATTCAGAGTACTTCGTAACAAGAATGAGAGATTTTGTATTTTCAAGGCACACATATATAAAAACAGAGGGGAGGAACACCCATTTTTTGCAATTTTAGAGCATTTTATGCGAAAAATGGGCGGTAAAATTCAAAAATGCGCGTTTTTTGCGATTTTGACGCGCATTTTTGAAAAATAGGCAGAAAGAACGGGAAAATGTTCGATGTTTGTAATTTTGGAGCATTTCATGCGAAAAATGGGCGGTGAAATTCAAAAATGCGGAATTTTTGCGATTTTTACGCGCATTTTTGAAAAAAATAGGTGGAAAGAATGAGAAAATGTTCAATTTTTGTAATTTTGAGGCGCATTTTCGAAAAAAAGAAGCGGAAAAATTAAGAAATGCGGTATATTTGCGATTTTGACGCGCATTTTCAAAAATCGCGCGGTAAAAATGCAAATTTTTGAATTTTTGGAGTGAAAATTGCGAGAAAAAAGTCAAAAATCGGAGAAAAAAAAGTTATTGAGAAATATTCTCCTGTCCAGCACTGGCATTCATCAACTGCTGTTGAGCCATGGCGAGAAGAGCCGCGTGATTCGGCTCCTGAGCCTGTTGCTGAAGAATTTGTTGCAAAAACTCTTGACTCGGCGCGACGGCCATCGGTTTCGCCATCTCCATTTGTGGAGGAGGAGCAACTGGAGGTGGAGGAGCCGGATCCTCTTGCTTCGAGACCAACTCGGCAATGGTCTGCGGTCCGAGAAGTTTCTCCACCATTCCCTTCTCCACCGTCAACGATCCACCATTCTGATCCATCAACGCCTGAAGCATCTGTGGATCCATGATCGCCGCTTTGAGAGCCGATGGATCGGTGAACGGACTGCTCATTCCGTTGACGTGATCCGTGATGCGACGTGACTCGTTGAGATTCTTGACGCGACGAAGATAGGCGACACGATTGTCGATTTGACGACCGAGACGTGGATTCGCTGGCAGGCCGAGTCGTTGAATCTCCTCGTCCACTTTGCATGTTCGATCTTCCAGTGTCCAGTTCTCGTTGTACGAGCGATCGACGATCTCGCGGATTGTTCTGGAAAATTGGAAATGGTTTGGTGGTTTTGGTGCTGTTTGGAAGGATCGGGCGCTGCTAAAATGGCCTTGGAGCTGCTTAGGTGACTGAGATTTTTTTTGAGCCAGCTTGGGCTCAAAGACGCAGATTTTAGCCCAGAAACCCAAGGATAGAACCTACAAACCAAAGTTTACGCCTAAAATCTCAGATTTAGGCCCAAAACCCAAGAATCGGGCCTAATACCCTCAAATTTGAGCCCGAAACACCAAATTTGAACTCAAAAATGTCGTTTTTGCACAAAATTCCAGCGCCAGGCACCAAAAATTCAGATTTTGTTTCAAAAATTCAGATTTGGGCCTAAAAATTCAGGGCTCCGTTCATGGCTCCGGTAAATCTACAAGCCTAGGTTTGAGCTCAAAAACCCAGATTTGGGTCCAAAAACCTTGGTTCGAGCCGAAATTCCCTCGGGTTGGTCCTAAAAACACCATATCCGGACTCAAAAATCCAGTTTCTGGTCTCAAATCCTGCATTTCGGCTCAAAAACCCGGATTTTAGCAGAAAACTCCATAGTTTAGGCCTAAAATCCTCGATTTGTGCCCAAAATCTCAGATTTGGACTACAAAACCAAGGTTTTCGCTTAAAACCTACAGGTTGAACCCGAAAAATCATGGTTAGGCCCAGAAAACTATGAATTGAGCCCAAAAATCTCCGTATTTGAGCTCCCCAAACCCTTTCTAACTCCCATTCCAACTCACTTTGGCAATCCAGCATGGCTGCCGGCCTGTCCGACAGGCTCAACGGCCCCATGATTGTGGACGCCCTTCTCCTCGACAATATAAAACTCGTCTTGCCGCTTGGCACGAACTCGATAGCGACACTTGCTCTGTAGGCGATGAAGACAGTCGAAATACGTCCATCCGTCGTACTTTCGCTCGTTTCTCTCCACAACGTACACCGAGAAGAGCAGCGCCTCGTATTCCTGGTGCTTGGTGGTGGTGAAACATTCCAGCCACGTCTCATGTCGGCCACACGATCGTTGTCTGGAAGAGAAAATGGTTAGGAGGGGAAAAGAAAAAAAGAAAAAAAGATTTGGCGCCGGGTGGGTTCGAACCCGGGACTTGTTGAGTGAAAGGCAAAAGCGTTACCAGTCGGCCACAGGGCGCCACGACGATGCGGGGGTGCAAGACGTATAAGAAAGAGAAGCCTTCGCCTCTGTCTCTCTCACACCTCCCCGCTTCTTGTACAGCCCGCGCAGCATGGTACCATGTGGCCGACTGGCTAACGCTTTTGCCTATCATCCATAAGGCCTAGGTTCGATTCCACCTGGTGGCAATTCTTTTTGTTTTTTCTCCCCAAGCCTAGTTTTCAAGTTCTAAGACCCCAAACCCCACTTACTCCGCCGACAAGGCTCCATTGGCAATATTAGCCGACGAGTCGATGGTCAACTGTTGCAGGGGGTTCTGGAAGCCTCCTCCTCCTCCCATCTGATTATTCATTTGTTGAAGCTGCTGCTGCATCATCATCATCGAATGATCATCATTATCCTGTGAGGAGCTCATATCAGAACTCGCCGATGGCGACGCCTTCAACGCCATATCCGAATCGTTGGATGGAGAGGTCTGCACTATCACGGGCACCTGTGGAATCGTCAGGGGATTCGGAAGGGATTGTTGGGTGGGGATTGGTTGTTGGGGTTGAGCCAAAAGTGGCATCTGCTTGTTGGCCAACGCGTTTCGAACCAACTCCAGAAGGTGCTCGTTGATTGGCGGCTGCTTCAGTGGCGACGTCATCGCTTGCTGCAAAAAATCGATGAGAAATTTCTAAAATAGAAAATTACAGTATAAATCGATGGGTGGCAGTTTTGAAAAATTGGTAGATCAAAAAATTTTTTTTTGTTGAAAATTTAAATTTTTGGTAGGTCAAAAATCATTTCAGGCACTATTACAGTAAGACTTTCCTTAAATAATAGCATGCGCCTTTAAACTCAATTTGGCTCAAAAACCCGAATTTCGAGCTGAAATTCTCAGAATTGAGGGAAAAACAAGGCTGAAAACTCGATTTTCTGGTAAAAAGTTTAAAATTCTGTCTGAAAACTGAAATTTTGGCTCGAAAACTACAAATTTATGCTCAAACCACACAAAATTTGGCCCAAAAACTCGAAATCTAGCCCAGAAACTCATCTATGGGCTGAAAATCTAAAAATTGAGGGAAAATCTCAAACTTTGATCAAAAACCTGCAAAATTAGCTCTAAAACTCCTAATTTTGGTTGAGAATTCCAAAACTACGCTGAAAATTTCAAATTTCGGCTGAAAATCGCCGAATTTTCAGCTTAGAAAGACTAATTTGAAGCTGAAGTGGTCAGTTTCAGTTGGAAAACTGCAGACTTATGCTCGAGGAGCTCGAAAACCCTCAAATTGCAAACGCGCCCCACCGAGTTCGACAAAATTGCGATAGAGCACATTTGTCATAATTAGAGAGTGTTTTAGACTTGAGAATTGTAACCCTACCAAATAACTCCAAATTTTTCGGTGAAAAGCCCGGAATTTGGAGCAAAAACACATATTTTATATGGAAAATCCGAAAAATTGGACCAAAAACTCGAATTTTGAACTAAAAACCGTAAAAAATAGCCGCCAACCCATTTATTGAGCTCAAAACCCAATTTTTGAGGTCAAACACGCCCTACCGGATTCAAAAACCCTGAAATTGCGAATGCGCTCTACCGAAATTCGATTGGAGCGCGTTTGCAGCATTTATGGAGTGAAAATAGCGTAAAAGTGTGTTTTAGACTTGGAAACTGTAACCTATACTCTCTATATAAGTTTAAAGTTATTTTTCTCTCTCTCTCTCTCTCTCTCTCTCTCTCTCTCTCTCTTCCTCTTACCTGTTGCATAATCAGTTGATTGAGTGGAGAGAAGGCGTTCGTCTCCTCCATTGAGATGATCTCTTTCCTGAAGATAAGATGTTCTGTTTCAGTGTAATAAAAAACGAAAAGAAGCATTTTTTGAAAGGGTGAAAAGTGAAAAGAGAATGATAATTGATGATAAAAAGAAGATAGAAAATTTGAGGAAGAAAAGTGAAAATGGGTCCGAAAAAAATATGAGAAATGACGGGTCCGGAGGCGGTGGAAAAATCGAGAATTCATATTTTGGCGGTCGATTTTTTTTTTTTGAAAAAAAAATTGTAGATCAAAAAATTTTTTTTCGCAAAAAATTTTTTTTTTTGGTTTTTTGATCTACTTTTTCTGCAGTTAACCTATATGATTTTTATACCAATCAATGGGGAATTTTTTGATCTACATTTTGGTGCAAATTTCTTATAGGATTCTACAAAAAAAGAAGGCTGAAAAACCTTAAAATCCAAAAAAATCGAAAAAATAGGGTTTTTTGAGTTTTTGATCTACTTTTTCTGCAGTTAACCTATATGATTTTTATACCAATCGATGGGGAATTTTTTGATCTACCAATTTTTTTTTCAAAATTAAAAAAAAATCGGCCAAAAAATACTATGCTGCTGAAGCGCCGGAGGCGCGCGGAGCTTTTGATTTTTTTTTGAAAAAAATTGTAGATCAAAAATTTTTTTTCGCAAAAATCAGTTGTTCAAGGAGAAAGTGTTTTCTTCACCTTTTTTACAGCAAGCCTATAGGATATTTATAACAATCGATAGGGAATTTTTGATCTACCTGCTAAAAAAAAGTCTGCCGAAGCGCCGGAGGCGCGTTGTTACCTAAAATTTTACAAAGAAAATCAAGAAAACCATTATTATTTTTGTACCAATTGATAGAGAATTTTTTGATCTACCTACTCAAAAAAAAACTAGACTGCCGAAGCGCCGGAGGCGCGTTGTTACCTAGAATTCTGCACAAAACCGAATCAGAATTTTCTATATCAAAAAAGTAGTCTGTCTTCAGGATAATAGGGTGAACAAAAAAGAAGTGGAGGAGTTCATGTCTGATGAGCAGAGGAATGAATTATGAAGTACTTACTTGGAAGGGGACGGATGGGGGACAAAGTAATTAGGATAATGAGGCTAATGTTAGGAAGAGGAGGAGGAAGAAGAAATTGGATTCGTTGAAAGTTGGTAGATCAAAAAAAAATTTAAATGCGAAAATCTAAAATTTGACTAGAAATCCTCTCCCCCGCCATCACCAGTGAGATGTCGGAGAACTGTAAGTTCAGAGTAGAATATCCCGGTTGTCTTTGAAGCTATCAAAAAGTGGTCAACTGAAAAAATGTTCAAAAATACATTTCAAACATTTTACTAGTTGAACATTTTTTGATAGCTCCAAAGACAACTGAGATATGCCGCTCTGAACAAGCAGTACTATGTGAACCGCCCTCCCCGCCATCGCCAGTGAGATGTCGGCCGCTTCATTCCTCTCTAATTCATAGGTTTCCCCCATTTCCCACTGCAATCACTTACGGTCCGGAGTCAGTGGGTTATCCAAAATTTGAAACCCTCCCATTGACACCAACTTGACCGTTTGTTTTGCATTTTGTGCTTGGTGATTCTTAGGCGTAATGGCGCGCCTCCGGCGCTTCAGCAGCCTTGCTTTTTACGATTTTTTTTTGAAAGTCGCTTGAAAAATGGATCAAAAGAAACTTGTTTTGTATTTTTTTTTTCGTAAATTTGTAGGTAGCTACGCGCCTCCGGCGCTTCAGCATCCTGTTTTTTTTTCGAAAATTTTTGCTTCAGAAAAAAGTACGGTACACTGAATTCTAACATACTACGCGCCTCCGGCGCTTCAGCAGTCGATTTTTTTTTTTGGGATTTTCGAATATTCACATCGGATTTTTTCCGTTGCTGCCTCGCGCCTAAGGTCGCGCCTACGGCGCACTTGCAGCTAGGTGATAATTACAAGCTCTGTGAAGGTTTAAGGAGATCAGGTTCAATTTCAGCGCATTTGCAGCTAGATCCGAGAAATTATCGGGTCTCACACAACACCCAATGATAACATGGTGAGAAAAAGGATATAACTTTGAATAGAACGCGCCTACGGCGCACTTGCAGCTAGGAAAATGTCGGGTCAGTGGGGGGGGGGGGTCTTAGCACAGTGTTGTGAAGAGGGGAAATTAGCAGTTGTAACATACACACACACACACAATGAGAACATGGTGAGAAAAACTGTACATAAATTTGAATAGAATGAGATAATTTTCTGCTAATTATACATGAATGAATAGCCAATAGAACAGAGAATTAATGAGAAAAAAAAAACATAAAAATTGATGCTCCGCCCCTCCAGGACCATTAAGAGAATAAATTAAAACCATGAATAGAATGCTATCAAGGAAAAAATCCTGCCTTTAAAGGCGCATATCTCAAAAATGGGCGGAGCTAGAAAAAAGTTGTCAACTGCAAACTTTCTTAAAATTAAATTTGGAACAAGTTTGCAATTGACAACTTTTTCCTAGCTCCGCCCACTTTTGAGATATGGACAGTTCTGATCGACCTGGGGAAAATTAGAGCTCGAAATAACAAAAACTAGAGATAAGATAGGAAAAATATAGGAAATCATACCAGACCAAAGGAAAATAGAACATAAAACCACGGAAAATTAAAGATGTCTGTAGAAAAAAACAAGCTGACCCGGGGAGAATTCTGACGGGACCCATGAAGGAAAAACTGTACAAAAAAAACGAAAATCGATCCACCCACCCAAACTACACAGGGTGTACCTGTGGTGGTGGAAAAGACGAATGACACACAATGAAAAAAGAATGGGTGACGTGGAATGGGGGGGGGTGTCCAACTGTTTGCTCTTATTCTCCCTCTCTCTCTCTAGGTCAAATGGCATTCAGGGGGAGGGGAAAGGTGGGCCCAATGAGAAATAGTACGGGGGAAGTTGAGACGGGGGGTGTTCCATCTTCACAAAAAATGTTGAGAACGGGGGGAAAGGGCAGATGGTGAGTCGGATAAAAAAGTGAGTGAAGAGAAAAGGGAGGTCATTTTTATGTAAATGTGGTGACGATGGAGGCCAGGGGAGAGGGGGAAGGTAGATGAGCGATGGAAGATAATTTTTTTTGGCGGGAAAAATGTAATTTTTGATCTACAAAACGTCATGAATATGAGCATGCATTAGCAAAGAAATGAGAATGCTGAGGCGCCTTTGGCGCGGCATAGTGGTGTTGCTGAGAAAAAATTCAGGTCTTGCAGAGGAAATATTGGTTAAATCTTACAGGAATTCATCAAGAAGCTCTTTTTTTTTTTCTTCTACTTTTTTTTCGGAACACTGTATGTTCAGAGTAGGATATCTCGGTTGTCTTTGAAGCTATGAGAAAAGAATCAGCTAGAGAAATGTTCAAAAACAAATTTCAAACATTTTACTAGTTGAAAATTTTTTTATTGCTCCAAAGACAACTGAGATATGCTGCTCTGAACATGCAGTACTCTCCCTCACTCGTCCCCGCCATCGCCAGTGAGATGTCGGCCACTTCATTCCTCTCTAATTCATAGGTTTCCCCCATTCCCCACTGCAATCACTGACGGTCCGGAGTCAGTGGGTTATCCAAAATTTGAAACCCTCCCATTGACACCAACTTGACCGTTTGTTTTGCATTTTTTTTTGTTGGTATTTTTTAGGTGATTACGCGCCTCCGGCGCTTCGGCGGTCTAGCTTTTCAGTCTCTGCCTCATGATTTTTTTTTCCAATTGCAAAATACATTTATTTTTGATCCATTTTTCTGAAACAACCTCATTTGATTTTTATATCAACTGAAAGGGAATTTTTTTTTGAAAAATAATTGCAAAAAAAAAACAAGGCTGCTGAAGCGCCGGAGGCGCGCCAATGACCAAAACAAAAATGCAAAACAAACGGTCAAGTTGGTGTCAATGGGAGGGTTTCAAATTTTTGGATAACCCACTGACTCCGGACCGTCCGTGATTGCAATGGGAAATGAGGGAAACCTATGAATTAGAGGGGAAAGAAGCGGCCGACATCTTACTGGTGGTGGCGGGGAGGGGCGTCTATTCATATAGTACTGCATGTTCAGAGCAGAATATCTCAGTTGTCTTTGGAGCTATCAAAAAATGTTCAACTAGTAAAATGTTTGAAATGTGTTTCTAAACATTTTCCAAGTTGACCACTTTTTCATAACTCTAAAGACAACCGAGATATTCTACTCTGAACATGCAGTACTCCGAAAATATTTCATTTTTCAAATTTTTTTTTAATCTACATCATTGGTTACGGAGAGGGCGCATCCAAAAATACCACTCGATGACGTGGTGAGACGAAGAGTAATCAA